TAAAGTATGTCTCTTTCACCACACTCGCTATTGGGAGATGGCGTGTACTTTTTTGTACTGAATTAATGGCCTCAGCAAGGTTTGTTGTCATGTGTCTGTATCACCGACCACCATCGTATGCTTACGACCACTTCTCCCACTCGATTTTCAACGCCTACTTCCAAACGTACTCATCTATGACCTTCAAATCGTCCAATCTTTTGTCAAACTTTGGTTGGCGTACTTCATATCCTGTTTCAAAATATATATTATGTTAACGCCAATTTATAAACAAACACATAAATGGGTACAAATGTTGAAAATAAAACTTACCCATGCTCACTATCTCCCTACAAATACGGCTGTTATGAAACTTCTCAATACAATTATCAATATGACAGATACAATATGTGGGATATGCGTGCGGAGGTGTCCAACGACTTCTCGGTTATTCAATTGCTGCCAAAAGGCATGTTCCTCGATCGAATATCAAGGAAACTCCATCTTCTCAGACGATATACTTACGTAGATTAGTCATAAAGAAATCCCAAGCCTATATCGTCTCTCTTTCAACGATGAAGAATACAATTAGGAATATATTTCTTTGACTATCCTGCGCAACTGCTATCAACAATATATGTTTATATTAATCGTATAACCACGTACCATCTACTTGGACCATACGTTTGCAAAATGGAAAGCCTTCTATGTATGACTTGAATGGCCTGAAGAGTCTATGGAATATTCTCTTCCCTTGAAGAAGTTGACCTTCGTAGTTGTATGCAGGTATGGTATGAGACTTCACGATGGTTCCAGCTATGAATTATTTCATAGCTTGTAACAAATCAGGTAACTCATTGTATGATGTATCCCAATCGTCATATATCAACCTCCTTGCCTTCTCTTTCGCATGCCAAATGGGTTTGTATTTACATTGTATCCGAACTTGTCTCGAATAGATGCAGCTAACACCGACCAAAGGATCCTTGGATTTTGTTTAACCAATACCTTTACACATCGGAGTCCAGTAGTCGGTGGTCTTGTTCGATAGAGTTTTGTAAACATGTGTGTGGACCATTGTACCTTGTGATGACCTAAGCATCTTACCTCTGCATTTTGGACACTCTGATCAACCACTTACACTCAGGTTCATATTTAACACACTTCGCGTATATAGTTTTCTGGTTGGACTCTACAATCTTGCAATCTACATGACCTCTTATACAATACTCTTTAATCACCAATGTAACTTCTTTTTTTCTCTGTATTGCTTCCCAACTGATAATTCACCAGAGTTATTGGACGATTCAGTTATGTAGCATAAAGTTAAATGTGGCATCTATGGGAATTAAAGTGCCCTTATTGCTTCATAATCTATCTCTTGCATGTGAGGGGTAGGTTGATACGGTGTCGGATATTCATCAATATTGATATCAACTTCATCACCATTGAACATATCGTCATCCTTAACCAAAAGGGGTTCCTCAGTTTCTTCATCTCCACTGGAATCATCAAGTATTTCTTCCCAACGGTTTTCAGCGACATACTCTGCGGCTCCATATTTTCCACCAACTTCATTTTCACTTTCTAGCATCGCCCCAAAGTTGTTCATCGACCTATATATCGGGTTATCGAAATAACTCTCGAAATCCATTTGAGATGAAGTTCCAACCGCAATTCTTGATGACCCAGGCACATTAGATATGTTACACACCTCAACAAATAACTCAATAATTGGAGTATTTGTCGAGTCATGTAATTCAACCATAGTTATAATATCATCATCTTCTTGAAGTGGTACTGCAGCATACCTGACCGGATTGGGACATACCATAAATCTGTACCTCAAACCATCAACTGTAGCTCAGATTTTCCTTTCTATCATCTCCTTAATTTCTACAAATGTGATGTCCCTTTTAAACATCATATTTATAGGTGTTTCAGACTGAAAAATAACTCCGACCTCATTTTCTGTAATATGCCCATTGTAATGGACAATCGTGAAAAAATTGTTGCTCATTTTCTCTACACATAAAAATCAGAATAAATTACATTTATAATTATAATAAAAATAAATTATTTGCAAAATTATAATTAATATTATTAAATTTATAATAAAATAAAAAATATTAACAATATTTTTTATTTTATTATAAATGTAAATATATTAACAATTTTTTTTATAAAAATAATGCTTAAATATTATGATTACATTATAATACTGATTAAATTTATTACTTCATATTTTTTATAACTACTTATTATTACTTCGAATTTATTACTCACTAATTTATTATACTTTCCCGTGCAACCACCAACCTACCTGAGATATTAATAGAAAATTAATAACCACCAACCTACCCGAGTTATTAATGGATAATTATTAACCACCAACTTATTGATATTATTAACGGATAATTAATGATGCAATTATTTTTGGTCATTATAATAAATTTTATTTTTCTACTATAATTACTAAATTTATTACTTCGGATTTTTTATAGCTACTTATTATTACTTCGAATTTATTACTCTCTAATTCATTATACTTTCCCGTTCAACCACCAACCACTAACCTACTCAGGTTATTAATGGATAATTAATAACCACCAACCTACCTAGATTATTAATAGATAATTAATTATTGGTGCCATTATTTTTTGTCATTATAATTAATATTATTTTTCCTCATTATAATAAATATTATTTTTCTACTACAAATAATAAATCAAATATGTTCATCTAAATATCTTAAAATTTCTACTACAAATACTAAATCAATAATGTAACTAACAATAAATCGTAAAATACTTTAAATAATATATTTTTACACTTACTTGAAAGTTTCTTCCGACAAGTTGATGTTATAAAAAACCTTTTCGAATTTCTTACTCATTTCTTTTTTATCTGCAACAACATATTAAAAATAATATTTTAATAACCTTTCCGAAATAGAGATATATTATTAAAATACGAATAAATTTTTTTCCAATAATACTTACATATTATAGATTGAAAGAAAATTTCGTTCAAAATTTTCTCTACTATTCTTCCGACAAGTTGATGTTATAAAAAAACTTTCTCGAATTTCTTACTCGCTTCTTTTTTACCTGCAACAATATATTAAAAATAATATTTTAAAAATCTTTTCGAAATAGACATATTTTATTTGTGTACGAATATAATTTTATTCGAAGAATACTTATATATTATAGATTGGAAGAAAATGTCGTTCAAAATTTTATGTGCTATTCTTCTCGAATGCTTACTCTTTCAATTCTTCTTCAGATTTTGCCTTTTCTCTCCTTTCCTCACCACTACTTTACTCCTCAATTCTCAACCAAAACACCCCATTTTATAACATACCAGATATTTATTACAATTTTTCGTTCAACCACCAACCACCAACCACCAACCAACCTGATTATTAATGAAAAATTAATATTTCCATTAATACTTATATGTTTCCCAGTCTGAGGCAACCTACCACCTACACTGAAGACGCCGAGTAATCACGGAGACTTCTGCGTAGCCAACTTGCCTGAAGACGCCAAGTGATCCCGGGGACTTTTAGTTTGCCTGAAGACGCCGAGAAATCCTGGGGACTTTAGGCTTGTACTGTAGAAAAGACCCTAGATGGGGAAATAATGTTGGAACCATATTATCCTGGGAAAAACTTCCCAGGATGCGTTATTGTGGTACTTTTGCCGTCTTTTTTCCCTTTCCCTTTCTGTTATCTATCTTTGCTTTTTTTAACCTTATTGGGTATGATTTGATTTTGATTGTCACTGTATTTGTAAGTTTTTGTGTTTAATAGGCTTATATCGTAATGAAGTAATTAAAATATAGGTAAAATGGTCGCTTTTATCCCTATAACATATTTAATGTATTGTTTTTGTTTTTATCGTATTTTCACATCAATTTAACCCTCAAAGTTGCTCAATTGCATTAATGTTTAAAATATTTACTATTTTTTAGGGTTTTAAGTTAAGGTTTAGGGTTTTAAGTTTAAAGATTATGGGATTATGGTTTAGGATTTAGGGTTTTGAGTTAGGGTTAAAGTATAAAATGATGTAATTAAACAATTATGTATGCTAAATTTATACAAAAATACAATTGGAGTGAAAATGATAAATTGAGTGGCCCCTTTTATCTAAAATATTTTTTAATTTAAGTATCCAAAATAGTTTTTGATGAAAATATGTACGTAAAGTATTCAATCTTTTTCATTTAAATACTTAAAGTATTTTTTAATTAATGTCACGTGTCAATTTTTTTAGAATTTAGATGAAAAATATTAAACATTTTGAGTACTTATTTGACCATAAAAATAAGTTTAGATATTTTTTGCAAAAAAAAAACTTCATGTAATTAGGTAAAAAAAATAGTGTACTTTAAATACTTATTTATAATATAAGCCTTTTTAATAATTATTTCATTTGATAAAAATGTACAATGTCAAAAAATATTCTAATGTTTGAAAATAATTAGTTTGGTTCATATTGTTCGAGAATATTTCGATTTCTAATGTTTTATTTTGAGATAAAAAAATTTCTTCATAGATTTAGTTAACAAATGATTAGTATTCTAAAAATATGAGATTTTGTCCTAAAATAAAATGTTAAAGGTAAAAGCGATTATTTAGTCAAATATTATATATAATTTTGTTTTAAAGAATAAAAGATTATAGAGTAAAATACTAAGAAAAATTAAAATGATTTTTTAAGTGTAATTTTTGAATTATGAAAAAAAAAACATGCAAAGGATTGGAAGTGGAAGCTTCCTTTCAAGCTTCTCTTTCCTCGAAAAAAGGGTACCGCGTTTCGCCATTGGCATTTTCACAAACAATTACTTAGCACAGCAAGCAAATGTGGTTCCGTCCGACCACATGGGACCTTGTTGCTTATATTTTATTGGCTAACACGTTTATACACGTGTAATAATCAAATCCCCATTGATGGTCCCCATCGCGTAGTGGAATCGCTTCCTATATATCCATCTCTCTCTCTCTCTCTCTCTCAAGCTTGGGTTTATTTCTTTATTTTGGGTCGGTTAGTGATTGATTCCCCCCTTTGTTTATATTGATGCATCTTTCGCTTCTTCACACCATTCCTCGGCCAGTTCATCCCAACTTTCCATAACATGTAAGTTCAAAGATTCTTCTTTTTGTTTTTGCTTTTTCTGGCCAGATATGTTTAGATGCTTATTTCCCCCCTGGAATTTGGATACTTAGAGATCTGAATTGGTTCTTATGCCATATAGGTCAGAGTTAAAGGTCAATTTTTTCAAAACAATATTCCCAGTTCTTGGATTTAATCGCTAAAGAGTCATTTATTGTCTTATTTTTTGGCGGATGCCAACCCATATCGTATTTATAACTATGAATTTGTCTACTTTTTGAGAAATTCGTCATTAGTTTTTGTTTCTGTTATTCCTTGTTTTATCATGAGGCTAATTAGTTGGATTCGGGTGCCTAATTCTAATGCCAAGAGCAGTGGCAAGAGAATAACAATGGTCAAAGAAACAGCCTATTATGATGTATTGGGTGTCAATGTTGATGCATCTGCAGCTGAAATCAAGAAGGCTTATTACCTCAAAGTAAGCTTATATTTTTATCCCTTTTCTAATATGTATGATTTCAAAATCAAATATGAGATGGATGCTGTAATTTAAGGGAAAAGACTTTACCTTTGCGTGACAAGAATTAGGGTTGGATTTGTTCTTAGAAAGTAGTTTTCGGTTTGAATGAGTTTTGTAGTGGATGTGTGGTTGAACTGTAGCAAGAATTAAGAAATTTGGTTAATGAAACACGTTATTGTTGTTGTTATGATCATCATCTGACTCTTATGTGGTATTTTTCAGGCAAGGCTTGTTCACCCCGATAAAAATCCTGGAGATCCAAAAGCTGCTGAAAATTTTCAGGTAAGTCATCCGACTTTATCCTTTTGAAACTTTTCCAGCTTTTAATTATGCTTTGAAAATATAGATTTGTAGCTTAATTGACAAACCTCCTCAAAGAAAAGCCAGCAGGCCCCATTAGGAACCGTATCCTTCGCTCTGCAACTGCCGTTTTAAACAAGTATTTCTATTGAATTAGTACTTTCATGTTTCTCAAGTTAGCTTAACTGATCAAATTGAAAGCTATAGAAATGAAAACATGTTTTCACCTATAATGTATATTTTTACTTATCTTCTGTGTTTGATATATGTGAAGGCACTTGGTGAGGCTTATCAGGTTCTAAGTGATCCTCAAAAGCGTGAAGCATATGACAAACTTGGAAAGGGAGGAGTACAACCGTAAGTTTTCTTTTAAGATTTTAGACAAAAGTTTGCTAGAAGATGATGCTCATCAAGTTTACAAGCAAGCAGAAAGCTTTATTAACTTCTTAGTTGCTAATTAGTTTGTTTTTTCCCCTGTGACAGGGACTCAATGGTAGACCCTTCAGCTGTGTTTGGGATGGTTTTCGGAAGTGATGTTTTTGAAGAATATGTTGGCCAACTAGCTCTGGCTTCTTTGGCATCTATTGAAATTGAAATCGGAGATGATTCACTTGATAAGGAAGCTTATATGCAGAAAGTTCAGGAAAAGATGAAAGTAAATATATTTTTAGAAGTTTTAATTCTACTCTTAAATGTTTGTCTTTCAGTTACTCTTATTTTCTTTTTCCGTTTACCATGCAGACAGTTCAGAAAGAAAGGGAAGAAAAGCTCATCTCATTACTGAAAAATCGTCTTGTGCCATTTGTTGAAGGTGAAACTGACGAGTTCATTAATTGGGCAAATTCAGAAGCACTACGACTTTCACAAGCTGGTAAGTTTTTTTATCCTAAATTAATACTATTGGAAAGGTTATTTGTTGTGCAATCTGCTAATCCTTGTGAGCTTTACCGGACACTGAGTGACATGATTAAGGGGAAAACAGGAAAACAACAGTAAATCAATAGAATTAGGCTGAACAAACGGGTAAGAAAGAAGATGAAAAATCTATAGTTTCTCTCTGTGAATCAAGAAAGTAATACGAATGTTGTGGCTTTAAATATTTTACAGTTTATTTATACTTGGGTTACGAATAAAGTTTTGTAGCCTTAGATTAAGCCCTAAAGATAACTAATAATCCTATCCCGAGATTTGAACCCTAAACATATCTTATAATCCTAACCGCATAATATGTCTAATTAATAAACATTACTAAAATATAATAATAACAACAACATAATGTAAAGCTCCAATCTTCCCGGCTTGGAAAACTCTTCTCCGATGAGAAAACTTTTACTACTTCAGCCATAGTCTTTAGTATACACAATAGAATCTATGTTGGTGCTACATTTAATATTCTTAAGAAAGCCGATCTCTAATCTTGACGGGGGCTTAGTGTTATCATCCCAGTTTATGAGGAAAAGGAGCAAACATGTTTAATTGTGGCCATCTCCATACTATAATAATCAACTGTTTCATCAGGACTCTCCCTTTTCTAATATATTTTAGCAGTGGCGGTTTCACTTGAAACCATTAGAACCTTAAACCTTCTTTCTCTTTAGTTCAACACCAATTTTTTTCTCGGGAGAATCAGATTCGATTGTAGAAATTGGATCAGTTATTTTTAATCCAGAGTCATCATCCAACATTGTGGCCTTTGAGATATCCAAAAGATTTCTAATTCGTCTCTACTCCTATTCTTTCGAGGTTTTGCCTGTCATTCTATGAACAACCAAAGACTTACCCTCAATTCGATACCGATCAACTTGTTCACTTTCTTCTGGATATACTCATTATAGCTAGGATTTAATAGATCTTATTGTTGCTCTTCCTCATGCAACTTGCCATGTAAGTAAGCAACATTAAATCCACCCTCCTTTAATTTAAGGACATGCACCGACTGCTCCTCCAATCCACCTTGTACTGCACGATTTGTGGTTCCAGCATTTTTCTCTTCCTCGCCAAAATCAAATTTATCAGCAAGACCACCTTTTGTATGGCAAACTAGTTGTAGGCACCTTCCAGAATCTCCATTAATGTTCCCACTTGTTCATGTTGCAGCCAAGATTAAATTTACACCCAACTATTCAATCGTATCTCACATCAAAGACATAATTGTTTCTCGATCTTGAATTCCTTGACCTCAAACACTAAACAAAGGTAATATGTCTAACAATTAATAAATACTACCGAATTTAAAAAAAGAAAACAGTAAAGCTATTGCGTGACTGATTCAAAAAAAAATTCATCATCAAAAGTCATTTTCTGTATCCGTTAGGATCTTAGTTGAGTTCAAGGTAAGTTTAAAGGTAGGCCTGATATCTTGGTCCAGACTGATCAAATACTATTAATAGTGTAAGATCACTGGTAAATAAACTGTGAGTATATGTTATAAGTTATCTCTTGTGTAATATTAATTTTTATATCTTCTTTAACTTGCTACCCTACAAGATTACCAGTTAAGGAATTTAGCTTTATAAGACATTTTCATTTCTGCATTCTTTACTAAAATGCTTCACCCATTGTTGTCTCCTACTTATTCCTCAGAACTTGAGAATCAACGTAACACACTTTACCTGATTGGCAATTGGCGAATTCATAATGTTTCGCTATACCTGGATGGAAAATGTATGCATATGATTGGATGACAAAAGCATTTCATATCAATGTTAAACTCAATGAGAAACACCATTTGTCATACTCTATATTATTTCGTATAACCACATAGCATATCATTAATTTCGGCAATTTATGAAACATAAAATTAAACAGTTCAAGCATATTGTAAACATACCATTTAGCTAAAATTATCCATAAACATATCAACGATTATCCTCAACAAAAACACAATTAATTATAATCCCAAGCATATTGTCAAACATAAACACTCATAGGAGTGTACACATGTAGTAACAAATATTTATCGATTCGCCTTTTCATTTTATATATCATACACAAACTATCTACACTTATTCCAGCCTTAGTCTCCCGTGCTCCAGCTACCCCCTTGACTCAATTCTTATATAGACCAAACAAATTCAAGAGTTACCGAAGCATTACTTACAATTATACTACAAATAATTGTAATTGAGATAACAATTTATTGTTTTCTTACCTTGCTCTTACTTCACGGGAACTCTAGATTTTTCTATTCTTATCTCATTTCAATTTTTTCTCCCTCTCACTAAATCAATAACAGATTTTAGAGGACACAACTATCTTCTTTTCCTTGGGTCAATAAGCAAGGTCAAGGCACCTTGTTTCTTCTATGGCTCGGTCACTTTACCTAAGCCTAATTCAATACTCTTTCTTGTTAGATGGCTGAGACGGAGCATTAAGTAGCTCTCCCCCTGTTTTCCACTTTCGATTCAGCTCACTAGAGTATGGAAATAATAATTTTTTATTCCTTACCACCTAGTGGAACAAAATTGCTCTTTAAATCTTTATGATACAACATGCAAAGTGGTAAATAAGTAGTATCTTCAGTTTGTTTACTAGATATTATTGTTGCTATTAGTTCAATTTTCCACCACTTTCAGCTTTTGGTGAGGCTATGCTACATACTATTGGATACATTTACACGAGGAAAGCTGCAAGAGAACTTGGAAGAGACAAGCGATATATGAAGGTTCCCTTTTTAGCAGAGTGGGTGCGTGGTAAAGGGCACCGCATTAAATCACAAGTTATGGCAGCTTCAGGTACAATATTCTGCAATTAAAGGTCTAGATCTTGTTTATTAGCATTCTAGTCGTTTCCATTTTATTTGAACTTTGAAATTTGAAAGTGTTTGCATCACCTTGTAGGTGCTGTTAGTTTAATTCAAATACAAGATGAGCTAAAGAAAGCGACTCAAGGAGAAAACAAAGAAGAGGACGTAGTGAAAGCCTTTGAAGATAAAAAGGATGCCATGCTTCAATCCCTCTGGCAGATCAATGTAGTTGACATCGAGTCAACTTTGTCTCATGTCTGCTCAGCGGTGAGTAAAAACGTTTCCGTAACTTTGTATCAAAAAGCGGTGCATTTGTGGTGTCTTTTACATGTGCTTGGTGAAGGTAGGTAAGGAAAGATAAGTGTCAGCAATGAATTTTATAGGATGGGTTCCTCCAGTTTCCTGTGGAGGGATTGGGGATTCAATTATAAGTCCATCTCAATGAGCCTAGGATTATGAGCAAGACTGCAAATATCAGTAGATTTAGCTAATCTGTATAGTTTGACAAGGAGTTGATAATTTGCAGAGCATTAAATTATTTTCGATTACATTCATTAAAAATTAAGAACACAAATTTTTCCCTTTCCCTCTCAATTGCTATACTGATTAATTGATGACACCGAGGAAGTTCTTGACCTTTTTACGGTCACCCTGCAATTAAAATGGTTCAACCCACATTCCTTTTGTGGAGTTGCAATGCACACCTTGCTTGTGCTGCTTTGCAGCCCTTATGGTCTCCTGGGGAACATCAGCTACCCTTTTATTGCATAGACGTACTATTTTTCATGTTCATTGAAGAATTCAAATCTGCTTGTTTTCCAGGTACTTAAAGACCCCAGTGTATCGAAGGAGGTCCTGGTTTTACGGGCAAAAGGATTGAAAAAACTCGGTGCAATATTTCAAGTATGACTTTCCCTTCCAAGGACTCCTAATTCAGTTGCTCATAGTATCTTTTCCGTCTGTGTTTTTCGATTTATTAAACCCTCTAAAGATTTCATCTTTCCATTTTCACTTCCTCAGGGAGCAAAAGCTGCTTACAAAAGAGAGAACAGTCTGCGCCATGAAGACGAAAAAGCAATAGGTGCTGGTTCATCTTCTACATGATCATCTGTGATACTCCTGGCGGATGGCGACATCATTGTCGATATATGCAGTGTGTTTGAAGTAGTTGCGTGAATTCTTTAAAGTATAGTCAAACTTCGATCGTATTAATTCAATGACATATCGGATTTCAGACGAGAATTAGGCTTAGGAATCTGTGTGTATTCGTCACTGCTTTTTTAACAAATTGATATGCGGATTAGTAACGTACGGTTGAGATTCTTCAGAAGCAACCCCATAAGTTTTCATGAGGCTTAAACTCGCTCAGTTAGATTTATGAATATTCGATGTTTTACGAAACATGACAGAAAAAGCAAACATTGACTAATAAAGTGGAATAGATCATTGAGCAGAGCTAGATCATTTGCATGCACTGCAGATGTTAGCTACGTTGAGGATCTCAAGAACATCATGATGCTAAGAAAATGATAAAACATTCTGTTAGGATTTTCGAAGTTCAATTTGGATAACTGAAAAAATTATAAGGGGGTAAACTGGAAAAAATTGTTCAAGGAGTAAGGAGAAAGAAAATATATACAATTTTGCATAACGATTTATAGTGAATCGACTTCTCAATTAAGTCTATCTCCATTACCTTAGCTCCTCACTAAGGATTTTTCAACAAATCTATTAATTTGTTCTTTCTTTTTTAATAACAGAGATAATCTTTATAAAACTCCCTAACTTTTCAAAAGCTCAATTAAAACCAAAACTCATTTACAAAGAAAAAGATGTAAACAAAGAAAACATCTAAAAAGAAGTTGTTTACAAAAATTAAACCTCACAAGAACAAAATATTTACAAGAGAATAAGAATAAAGAGTGAAAAGCTCTTTTATTGTGTTTGATTGTTTGGATAGATATTATAACCCTTCTTCAAATGTCTTGAACTTGTATTTATATGTTGGAATGAGTTTGTGGCCGTTTCTAGCCGTTGGGATTGATTTGGAGCCGTTAGAGATGTTTTCTCTACAAAATAAAAATGCCCAGTACAGAGGGTATCGGTACTCCTATAGGGAGTATCGGTACTACCTTTGTTATTTTTAAATAAAACTAGTTGTTACTAGCCTTTGGGCATGACGGTAACGATACTACTATATAAAGTAGTATCGGTACCCCTTTGGGTATCGCTACCATTTTTGTATTTTGGAATTTGAGCAATGCTGGTAGTATCGATACTACTTAGTGAGTATCGATACTTCCCTTACTTTTGGTATCGGTACTATATGAACAGTATCAGTACTGTTCATGATGTATCGATACTGTAAGAACAGTATTGGTACTTCTTGTCTAGAAAAGCGTTTTGTGCTCAATTTCAAGTTAAATAGACTTTGAATTATTTTTGAAAACTTTGAATAAATTCAATTCAAGCCTAAAAACATTTGCCTTAATTAATTATATCAAAATATAGTTCAACAATCTACCATTTTTAATATAACAAAACATTTGAAAAATTATTTTTGACAAAACTCCCCTTAATAAAATATTTAATGAAAAATATATCAATTGTTGGAAAATGTTCAACTCCTCATTTTTCATTGAGAAATTGATTTTTTTTCAAACTCATACTTCTCCTCCTTTTTTATATAAAAATAATTTAACTTTAAAGTTCAAAAATAACATTGGAGAGTAACTGTTAAATTTGACATTAAAAACATTTGAAAAATCAAAGGCTCTCCCTCAAAAAGTGCATTCCAAACAAAAAATTGACTGTAAAAGCATTACACTTAAACAAAATTAAATTTCAACAAAGAATAACAAACATGTTAGTAGCACATGAAATTCAATATATCCAAGTCTAAAATACTTTATGTAATACAAATTGTTGAAATTAAGTACATGGGCATAAAGTTATCAAAAAAATGTTATGCATTTGAAAATTTTGATATCAATTATTAGAGAGATATCATTTCCATTTTAAATCACATGTATAAATATTTAAATTTAGGTCAAAAATTAAAATTTGTAAAATCAATGCATTTGAAAATTTGATATCAATTGTTATAGAGATATCATTTGCATTTAAAACCAATTTTGGCCAAAATTCATTATGATGAATTAAAAATTATGAAAAATCATTAAAACTTTAAAGAATGTTCATCATAACACATTTTTCAACATACATGAGACAGAAAACATGAAATCATTTAAAATAAAAACTTATGCATGCATAAACCTAAATGAGCAACCAATTAAGCAAAATAAAAATATTAAGCTTAGAGGTTACCTATTCCTTTTCAAGTGTGACTACAACATTTGAATATTTTCATTTTCATCACCGTTGCTCTCACACACCTACAAGAGACATTTAAGTAGATTTTGGTATCCAAATTGCTTTGGATCCTTGGATGTTAGTTTCAATGCCCCTTATTCCCTTAGGAACCCATACTTGTCTAATTTTAAAACGTTTTTCTTTTTTCAAAGGACAAGTATGTTTCAAATGATCATGAAAATGGCAATGTGAGCATTTTGTCATTTTTAAACACAATGAGTTGTTTTTAGAAATTAATTTTTTTAAAACTTTTAAGCTTAACTTTCAAATTAAAATTTTCTTTTTCTAAATCATTGATTTTGACTTTTGTAAGCTCTAAATCATTTTTCAAAATCAAATTTTTCTTTCAAAATCAAATCATTTTCAACTTTAAAATTTGAAATTAATTTCTTATATTTGGAATTCATGGTCTCAAATTCCAAATACAACTCATTATAAGCCACTTGTAACTCATCAAAAGAATAAGAATCTAATTCATTTAAGTTAGAAGTTACCATTGAATCTTCTTGGATGGCCATGAGGCATAGGTTGGCTACTTCATCTTCATCATTGGAGTCATCTTCATCACTTCAAGAAGCCACAAATGCATTTTTCTTGCTCGATCCCTTCTTCTTTAGGATGAGACATTCATACTTGACATGTCTCGTTCTTTGACAATTGAAGCACACCGAGAGACTCTTCTTCTTGCTTGATTCATGTTTCACTTCCTTGGAAGTTATGAATATTTTGAACCTTTTGAAGAGCTTGACCATCTCTTCTTCTTCTTCATCATCTTTATCCACCTCTTCACTTGAATCTTTATTGCTCTCATTGGTGGATTTGAAGGCAATGCCCACCTTATTCTTCTTATTCTTGTTTTTCTTCTCTTCATCTTTTACATCTTTCTTCACCATCAACTCATGAGTGAGAAAAGAACCAATAAGCTCATCAAGAGTGAGAGACTTTAGATTCTTAGCCTCAATGATCGTTGTCTTTTTCGATTGCTGAGACTTTGGAAGAGATTATCATCTTTCTCAAGAGTTTATCATTAGGGATTACTTTTCTAAATCCCTTTGGACCGTTGACAATCACAGAAAATCTATCCGTCATAGCTTTGATGTCTTCATCAGGTTTCATCTTGAAATTCTCGTAGCTATGGTTGAGAAGTCTTATCTTGGTTTCCCTCACATCATCGGTTCCTTCATGAGTGACTTGGAGCTTGTTCCATATTTCCTTGGAATTGGAACAAGATGAGACTCTTCCATATTCATCCGGGTCTAATGCACAAAAGAGGATATGTATAGCCTTAGCATTGAGTTGGAACTTCTTCTTCTCTCTCTCTCCATCACTCTAATCATCCATCTCACCGGTTGAAGTAGAGTAACCCTTCATGATAGAGTTCCAAGCTCATAGATCATTGACTTGAATGAAGAGCATCATAATATTCTTCCAATAGGCTTAGTTTGCTCCACTGAAATACGATGACTTGTTGATCGGTTGAGAATCTTCAATATAGTAAGAGCCGAAGGTCGAAGTCATTTTCTTGTCGGTTGTATCGAGAATCGGTAAAGCTTCTTCAAGGATCATCTCAAGGTTGTTAAATATTATAAAGAGTAAGCTCTGATATCAATTGTTAGGATTTTCGAAGCTCAATTTGGACAACCGAAAAACGTACAAGGGGGTAAATTGGAAAAAAATTGTTTAGGGAGTAAGAAGAAAGAAAAGATAGATAATTTTTCACAACGATTTATAGTGGTTCGACTTCTCAACTAAGTCTACATCCATTACCTTAGCTCCTCATTAAGGGTTTTCCAACAAATCCACTAATTTATTCTTTCTTTTTCAAGGACAAAGAGATAATCTTTACAAAACTCCCTAGCTTTTCAAAGGCTCAGCTAAAATCAAAACCCCTTTACAAGGAAAAAGATGTAAACAAAGAAAACCTCTAAAAAGGAAGTTGTTTACAAAAATTAAAGCTCACAAAAACAAAATATTTACAAGAGAATAGGAATAAAGAGTGAAAAGTTATTCTCTTGTGTTTGATTGCTTGGATAGGTGTTCTAACCATTCTTCAAGTGTCTTGAACTTGTATTTATATGTTGGAATGAGTTTGTGGCCGTTTCTAGCAATTGGGAGTGATTTGGAGTTGTTCGGGATGTTTTCTCTATAAAATAAAAATGCTCTGTACAGAAGGTATCGGTACTACCTTTGTTATTTTTAAATAAAACTAGTTGTTACTAGCCGTTGGGTCTGACAGTATCGATACTAAGCCTATGGTATCGATACTACTATGTAAAGTGGTATCGGTACCCCTTTGGGTATAGGTACCATTTTTGCATTATGAAATTTGAGTAATGCTGGTAATATCGATACTACCTAGTGAGTATCGATACTTCCCTTATCTTTGGTATCGGTACCATATGAACAATATCGGTACTGTTCATGAGGTACCGATAAGAAAAATATCGGCACTTCTTGTCCAGAAAAACTTTTTGTGCTCATTTCCAAGTTAAATGGACTTTGAATTATTTTTGATTCAAGTCCAAAAATATTTTTCCTTAATTTGTTATATTCGAAATAAATTAAGCAATCTACAAAAAATCCGGCCCAAATCGGATTTAAAATGACTTCCTAATTGACAAGCAAAATATTACCATAAATAGTAAAAAAATAAATAAAACTAGTGATTCGGAGGGGAAAACGGTAGAATTTGAGGTCGAAAAAAGGCCACATGGAGCGGACAGCGTGCGCGTCGAAAGAGGCTTTCTGAATTGGGGTCTTATGCACGATTCTGACACCCGTAGCCAAAGTTATGGCTAAAAGACTGAAACATACTCAAAACGGCCCCAATGAGGAACATATCACAATCAACTCCCGCCTTTGCACTGATC